ATGGGCCTTTTCCATTTTTTGTTCTTTATCCCTTTTGTTTCTAGAGAAAACTATAAGAATTATTTTGTCTTTAATTGATATTGTAAAAAATGGAGATGAAACTCTGGCATATGATATAGTCCAAATTCTTATATTGTTGCACTATATCTGGGAAACTTTTGAAGAGGCATAAAGAAAGCCCCACTCTTTACAGGTACAGGTGACAGGTTTGTAATTGAGTAAAATTATGCCTGTCACTTTGTCAAATATAGTAAAACCTGCTCTGTCTGGTCCTGTTGAACAAAGACTTTGACCAAACCACTTCAACTTTCTAGAAAGTTGAAGTTCATATCCTAACGTTCCACCCTTCTCATTGTAAATCTTGGATAGGTTGAAGAGAGTCTTAAAGGTGCATTCTTTCAGGACATAAGGAAAAGACATGTTTGGGGACATTCTTTACCTAAAGATTCAAAGTTAAAAATCAGACATTCTCTAAAGAAAGATTTTAATAAAAATCTTTGTGTTGTGTTTGCATCAGAAATGCTTTATAGACTCCTGAAAAGTAAAGCAAGTTGTTCTGTCCTCTATAATTAACTATATTAAGTTAAGAGGTATGACTGAGTTTGAATCTCTTCTCAGAAGCCCCTGTAGCCAGGAGGTCATCATTGGCTGATCTTGGAGTGAGGATCATGGATAATTATGGCTGGGTTCTCCTTAAAAATTCGTCAAGCTAAATATTTCTGTTTGGTGAGGTTTGGGGTCATACCTACTCCCTTCTCACCAAATGTTTCTGATGCAGATGTTCTTGAACATTTGGAGAAATATATCCCAGAATTGTGTAGTCTGCAATCCTTTTTTTGATGGTAATGGAAACTGAACCCTGAGCAATGATTCAAAGCCATCTAAAGATCACACAGTATCTGGAACTTGTCTCTTGACTTCCACATTAACATTTGCTATTGAAATGACAACCAACCACCTCACTTTTTTACAGAGAAGGAAAAATGCATGGTTATGAGTATAGGAAATTTTTGTCTTAAGCCAAAAAAAAATTTTTGGCTGGAAATTGTGAAACCTTGGACTGGCATGACCAAACATCAAACAGAAAATGCTTCCCGTGTGGAAAGAATGCACAGGCAACATGGTGCTGGGGGCCAGATGATTCCAACAAGACAAGGTCTCAGAATACAAATGATAAACTGTATTTACATAGTTTCCCTGGAGCTCAAAACACTTGGTACACTCTTTTTTCCTTTACTGTGAATAATTCTTACACTGAACTCATTATTATTGATTCTATCCTGCCACCATGGAGACTATAACACAAAGAGAATTGGCTGGTTTGTGGTAATGAGTACTTCAGTACACTCAGCTAAGTGGCTGGGTAGCTGCCCTAACCTCTCCTCTGATAGATGCCAGCCCATAATTACACAAGCCCAGTGCTTCATGGCTCCGTTTGGCATCTGTGAATACCTTCTGTATATGATCTGAGAATGCTCTTTTCTAATATTGACTTGACATTATTTAAACATATTGTTATAAAATATTATTTAAGGTATTTCTTAAAAATATACTGTTTTAAGTTCTTATATTTGTGGAACTATCTTAAAGCTTAATCAAAATGGGCTAGCCCTGAGAAAACTAGCACTCAGAGCTGGATATTAGGAAAGTAGAATACACAAGGAGAAGCAGCTTAATTCACATAATAACTTTGCCTAATATTGCTAGTGTATGAAGTGTAGGAAGATGTATAATTACCTGTAGAACCACAGAAAAATGGTGTTGGGGCCCTCAGCCTGAGTGAACAAATTGTTTCTTTTGTGGATCCATTCTCAGGTTAAAATTGAGCTCAGGAATGTGAACCTTATTTTTCTCTTATTTTTTGGTGGTTAGGAACAAAGAAAATTACTGTATTACTATACCGCTATATTAGGGTACCTGCAAATAACTTAACTTTTTAAAATAAGCTGCATGTTTGCCAATGTAAGCTACACATTAGTTTACTTTTTAATAACTAATCTTGTTAGGACCCCCTACTCCCGTGCTCTTGCTTATTCAACCACTATTTATTGAGGATCTGCCACCACTGATTTAGGGTCTAGGGAAACAATGGTGCTCAAAATGAATAATCTGTTTCCATTTATTAACTTAAAATATTATGTAAGATATACTTTTTCTATCCATATGCAATTAATTATTGTTTTACCTTACAATTATAAGGCAAATAATCTCATTGAAAGGATTGATTTGATCACTGTGAAGAATTAAATCCAGATACACGTATTTGGTGAAGTAAAATGTGGATAGCTTTTGTTCGAATATTTTCATGGTATACAGAATGATTTTTTTTTTTTTTTGTTTTAGAGCAAATACTTTTCTTTAGTCATGTAGTTTTATAATCCTGATCTTTAATATTCGACTCAATTATGTCTGCTTTTTTATTGCTATCTTATAAGTTACAATCCTATCATAGGATTTTTTTTAATTTATGTATTTATGCATACAAGAACTGGGGTACAGGCCAGAGATGTGGGGGCTGAAAGGATTCATCAGAGACAGAGTGGGGAACAGAACAGACAGACTGACTGAAACACATTGCTGAGGAGAGCAGCAGGCCAGGCAGGAGAGATCTGCTTCGCCATGTGGGTTGCTACCTGGCCAGCTGGGGATCGAACTCGTGCTACAGAGGCTGCGGATGGCTTCAGAGGCTGCGGATGGCTTCACAGTGCGATACTTAACCCCTTGCGCCACCAGGGAGACCCCAAGGATTTTTATTTTTCCACAATAGAAGATAAAGGTGAGAATGACAGATGAGTAATATTTATCTTTAAAAGTGAGTTCAATGTAGTGTATGCTTTTGCCTTTGTTTTTGTCTTCAGCTTTAAATTTTCATTCCAGTGTCTTAGGGGGAAATTCGTGTAGCTATAATTCCATACTGTATTGTAAAAATTATTTTTCTTGAAATGCACATAGAAAATTTGCTTCATCAGACCAACTTTCTGTTCTCTCATTTCATCAAGTTGTTTGGTAGCGTAGATATATAATTCAATTTAGAAATGGAGAAACTCAGCATAGAGAGATCTTAATGACATTCTCAGGCTGGTATATTCAGTTTGTGACCCAGCAGTCACAAGAATAGGTAGGGATATTTTTTTCACCAACTCACATAACTGTCTGATATATGAAATGCAACATATACACAATGTCAAAATGTTCTCTTAATTATATAATAATGCATGAGATGTGTAAGGACTTTGAAAGTCATACCACATGGAGACACATGAATATTTGTATGCATCTGTAATTGGTCATAAACTATTACTTGTTGTGATTACATTGGAAAGAGTGATGCACATTTTTTTTAGTGCTATCCTGAATGTCTGTTTGCAGATTTATTGCCTGGAACATATTTACTCACTCATTGCAACATCTGCTGAACCTGTTGGTGTCTTATTAAAATAGCAGATCTAAGTATAAAGTAGTATCATTTGCTTTCACCCTTGGGTTGGTCAGGCAAGTTTAATTGGGTAAAGGTTATGTTTGAAACATGTGACACTAAGTGCCTTTATAGGATGGATTCTACTTATTTCAATAGCAGAGATGTTGTGATAACAGTTATTATGTATTTGGAAAGGGATGGTTCCCGATCTCCATACATAATTAGTATGTATGGATTAGCAATGATATCAGTAACTATTTGCAAAGTATATTATTGTTTTAAAAGGACTTTAACTATCTCATAAAGTAGGTGGATATGTAATGCTTATTAGGGAGGCAGTGGATACCAGGCCGACTCAAACACCTTTTTATTTAAGTCTTGGTATTTTTTCTATTGGAAGCAGCTGGAAGTTTTGGAGGTTTCCTTCACAAGTTTGTGCTTGCTTTTGTAAGATTATCACAATCCTGTAACTTTTTTTAGGATTTAGTTTAAATCTAACTGTCTCTAAATTTTATTCCTGTTTTCTCCAAAATGCATCATCTTTTCCCCCTCTTCTTTTCATCTTTCTCAAGAAAGATTTTACTATACATCCAGTTTAATGAAACAGTTATTTGGTAATTATTTTCTGTACATCAAAGTATCATGATAAATAATGACTAAGAAGCAGTTTTTCAATGATAAATAATGACTAAGAAGCAGTTTTTCAATCTCCAAATAAGTTTTGTAAGTTAATTCTTTGAAGTCAAACTGCTTTACTAAATTTGAATTTTCTTATTTTAAATTTCTGTTCTAATAAGCTTTGGGTATTTTCCCCCATTTTCTTTCCTAACAGTATACCTGAAAACCTTGTCAACAGTTGATTTTCATTTTTCATTTAAATTAAAGCCATTAGACTTCTCAAGTTGAATATATATATATTGTCATTTTAAAAATGACAATAGTGGAATATATATTTATATATAAATACATGTGGAAATATATTTGTGTCCCACATCATTGTGTTGCCTGCTAAATTATAAATTGTAGACTTTATTCATATGAAGTTTAACTTTATAAATGACACTAATATATATAATACTAATATCTAGTCAAATAAATTACACTCTTTAGCTCTGATGGTTTGCGACAATAGATTCCCATTTTCATCTCTCTTTCACTTAAAAATTTTATATTGAAGATCTTTGCTGGTTATATGGATCCATTTCATTTACTTCTAACTAAAAACTTCCTTAGTAAAAAAGATAAGCTAAGAATAATCTAGAATGTTAAGAGTCTATTTGAGCCAAAATCAACTTGAATTGGGCAGCACCAAACTGAAAGTGGGCAAAGTGTTTCACAAACAGGAGCTTAGGAGAGACTTACTGGAAAAGAGTAAGACAAGTAAGTAAGGAAATCACTGACTGGCCAAGCTTCCTGCTTTGCTGGCTATTTGTGGTTGGTTGTCCTTAGATTTCAATTTTGTAAACAGATGAATTAGAAGCTTATATTTTTCTTCACTTACATAGGCCACCACAGCACTAGATCACCTCAGTCTAATGGCCTCTCTGTTTAATTCATTTAACAGACTTCATGCACTAAAGTCATTAAGCAGGAGCTTCTTGAATGTGAGTTGTGGGCATGACACAAGTAGACCAAGCTGCATTCAACTCTAGTCATACAAGGTGTGTTGAATACCAGGGAAACTCACCTATCATTATCATCATTATATCAACATTGTAATGCTTTTATTGATTATTCAATTTATGGATTAGACACAGCTTCCCTTTCCAGAAGCGCTCAGTCTTATTAAGAAGGAGGAAACATAGAAAATGGCATCATCACAAGTATTGAGTGTTAAGTGAATTCATGTGTATTCATGATAGAAGTGCTAACTCTTCATTGTATTCAGTGCCAGCTTCATTTCCCTAAGTTTCAGAAACAAGTTATCAGGGACTTTTTGAACTTTCCTATATTAATGTGAGCACCTAACCCAATATTAAAAGTATGTATCTGCTTAATCAACTTAGATCACTACTCGATCAATTTGTAAGTCAGAGGTAGACTTAGCAGAATTCCCTGAACAGAAAAACCAAATAATTATAACATGTTAGCTGGGTATATTGCCTCCCTGAATACAATCAGATTCCCTTAGGAATCTGGATGGGGGAGATGCATGTGAGGTGATCATTATTCCCTGCCAGGATCCATAGTTTAGAATTTCTCAGGCTTGTGAAGGCTAATGTGGCTATTGCCAACTGGATGGTTTTGTTTTTCCTTTTTTCACAGTTGTGTGGGAGAAATTGATCATTTAACCATTAGGGACAGAAATCTCTTGACCTCCCAAACTGACCGCATCAAAGAAGGACCTAGTTTTAGTGAAGATGACACATAATTACATAATTACCCAAGGATTTGTCTTCTTTTTTTTTTTTTTTTAATTTTTTTTTTTTTTTATGGAGGCATGCTTTATTTATTTGTTTGCTGGTTTGTTTTGTTTTTTGTTTATACATGCACTGGGTACAGTCAGAAGCGCGGGAGGGTGAGAGAATTCACCAGAGCCAGAGCGGGGAGCAGAGCAGGCAGAAGGACCGAAGTACACTGCTGAGGGGAGCAGCGGGCGGCAGGAGAGGTCTGCACGCCATGTGGGACCCTCCTCCGGTGGCCGGGGAGCAGCCAGGGATCGAACCGGCGCCACAGAGGCCGCGGGCAGCTTCGCAACCCAGCGCTCAACCGCTGCGCCACCGGGGAGGCCCCAAGGATTTGTCTTCTTATAAAGATCTTATGTATTTGATAATCCTCTGATCAGCATTTTGGTTATACCAATTGATCCTCTTTCCACAGGACAGAATAATCCTTTTCATAATGGCAAATACTGAAATTCTGGAAATTCCATGTATACGTCTCTTTTGTAGTGCTGAGATACTTTTCTTAATTCATAAGAGAAATAGTTTCTTGAAATGCAAAGAAACAAAAACAGAGAAGCCTGTCTAATAAAGAGGTGGCATGGGAAATATTATGGGTGATGCAAAAGTAAACTTAGTAAACATCTGTCTTTAGGATCTTTTTGCCAAATGGTTGATGTTGAAGGAGAAAGTTGGGTATGCTTTGAAAGACCCAAGGGAAGTGTCTATGAGTCGGAAGAGCCAGACTTCCCAAAAATCAGAATGTGCTAATTCTCTTACAAAACAAAAATAGACAAATGCACTTTAATTTAATTTGGAAGTACTAGTTTCACTGGTGCCCGATGGCTAGAGATAATAATTAATTTTAGTTGTCAGGGTGCCAGCAACACTAAGAAAATTGAATTATTACTTTATTGTCTCTCAGACAAGATGATAGATATTTTTCTAAATCCTTTTGATCTGCAGCAGGAGGAATATTGTTCCATTAGAAAGCACTGCTATTATCAACAATAAAGGAAAGGACAGTAATGGCACCCAGACCTGGGGCATCTCATCATGATACGATTTTTCACTGCCTAACTCTGTGGCAGATGCTCTGTTGAATGAAGTGTAAGTATGGCTTCTACCCTGTGGCCCAGATCAATTTTGCAGCCATTATTCTGTTTCATCTAGTTTCAGAACTAAATGACCAATTGTATAGTTAGGTTCTTGCCAATGAGTTTGTCTACAGCAGCAGCATCCACTTTTGTGATGAGTCATAAGTACAAAATTGAACAGGAAGAGGAAAAAATAAATGAATCACAAAGCCTGTTAGAGGCCCTTGAAAGTCTGAGCCCAAGTGCTAGTAAATGCTAAAGGGGAACATATTTACTGTAGTAGAGATAGATTAAATGGATTAAATTGGTAGATAATTGGGAAAGGTATGTGAGAAAATTGAATGAGTATAATGGGTAAATAGCATAGTACAAATGGACAAGTTTCTGATGTCTAAATTGGGTACATCCAAGGCCAGTGCTTATGTCACCAGATGAAGACTGCAGTTTGCTCAGGGCAGAATGTTCTGCATGCCACACATCTGGTTTGAAGCTCTTTAACTGAGTGATGCCTTTCAGAAGGAATGCTTTAAATTAGGAAAAGAGTAGAGGTACAGTGTAAGATAAGAATTTTGGAGTGGGCTTAAAGATCATAAACTCATCTCTTCATCCCAGAGGATAGGTATAGAAAGGGTGGGGTCTGTACCAACCATACCATGGTGGCCTGCTGTCTGTGATTCATATCCCCGTGGGCATAGCAAAGTGGAATTGTTTTCCTGCTTTCCTTCATTGTAACTCATTATTATACTCACTCCTTCATTAATTCATTCAGTGATAATAATAGCTTTCTGCATACAAACTGCAGCAAAAAATCAGATTTTTTAAATAAGTCTTTAAAGGATCAAGAAATTATTTATAGGAAGATAAAATATAAAGGTCATTCATTATGCAGAATCTTTAAGGAAAGGGTATTAAATGGTAACTCGGTCATTGGGAGTAGTAGCCATTTGAGTCTTTTAACTAGGAGGTGTTTTAAAATGTCCTTTGAGGAATGCAAGAATCAGACCTTAAGATTAAGAATTGTAACCATCAGTCTTCTGCTTTGTGGTTCATAAATGCCCATTAAATTTTTTGCCCAATTATGTGACTGACAAAGTAATGACGACTTCATTGTATATTCTTTATGGTTTAGTATAGTCGATTTTTCTCATTTTGTAAAAGGTTATTTATTTCCAGTGGGACTGACTTTTAGTTGAATGAATATTCTGATTAACTAAGCATTTTCATATATGAATTTGAATTTAATGCAATATTCTTAGCAATAAAGCTATCCCAGAAATGATTTAATCTGATTTGAATCTGGAGTGGCTTCAGGAATTTCCAAAGTAAAATGTAAAATGTAAACCCAGGAGTGATTATGCAGAGGTTGTGGGAAGTGGACCTAGGCAAACCTGTGCTGAACCTAGGACTTCTCCCTAGGAGTTATTTTAAAATATCTGACATTAGTTTATCACTTGTCTTCTTTTCACAGAAGTAGAATATAGAATATGTTTTTAAAAATTAGGTAAAGGAGTAAAGATAATGTTGAAATATTAGAAACATCTGGAAAAATTGAGATAAACTTTTGTGAAGAATTGAGAGCCAAGGTGAGCAAAGGAAGGCCCTGCTTTTTTCTTTTATTTTAAACTACCTTACGACTAAGGCAACCCTCCCCAAACTTTTGCGTTATGGAGTATTTTCTTGGTTCATCAAATGATACTGTCTCTCTTCATCCATCTTCTTTTTTAAAAAAAAAAAAAAAAGATTTATTTATTTATTTATTTATTTATTTATTTATTTATTTATTTATTTATACAAGCACTGGGTGCAGTCAGAAGTGCGGGAGGGCGAGAGAATTCACCAGAGCCAGAGCGGGGAGCAGAACAGGCAGACAAAATGCATGAACAGTGTGAGCATTTCAATTGACCTGAACCTTGTCAGCACTTGGTATTATGAGTATATGTGTTTTAGCATTACTAATAAACATGTAGCAACAGCTCATCATATATATAATCATATAATTGATTTTCGTGTGTTGACTTCATGTTCTGCAACCTTGCTAAACTTACTAGTGGTTCAGTAGTATTTTAGAAAAGAAGCATTTATGTCTTTTGAAAATTTTCTTGATAAGAGTTAGATTTCATTTTTTCCTTCCACACATGCACGCTATTAAAATCTTGGGACCATTTTGTAGGTGAAAGAAGTTTTTCTGAGAGGTGTCATTGTCAAGGACAGTTGAAAACACAACTGTTGGGTGTATCTCCTAAGTAAGAATATATGCTTTCCTCTCCCCCTCTTCAAAACACTCACTAGTTAATTCACTTGTTTTAGAGGTGTTTGCATAGAGTATTGTGCAGGTTCTATGCTCTAACCAGAAATGTTTTGTTATTTTACTCTTACATAGTAAAAAAAAAAAAAAAAAAGAAGCTATGAAGTGGAAAAGTAGGTTATTTGTAAGGGAGAAAATGAGTCCACAACCATGTCATTGAGAATTAAATTAAAAATACTTACCAGAAATGACACTGATGTTATTACATTTAAGAACTGAGGAATCAGGACAGTAGAAAGAATACTTGCGAGAGTTAAAGCAAATGCATATGAAATTCATGGACATGTTTGTATTCCATACTGAGCTAAAATGAATTTCCATTTTTGGGATGTGCTGTCATGGAAACTAATGCTATATTTATAGTTTGTCATTTAAGGTCATCTTTGTGTTTGCATGTGTGTATATATATGTGTTTGCATGACTTTTGTTTCGAATTCAAGCCTCAATAATTTGAAAAAATTAAGTCCAGGGATTGGAAAGACCATCCCCATGACATTCACCTTCTTGTCCTGACTCCAGGTAGGTCAGGACAGCATGACTGTTCTGAAATAATCTTCCTGCCTTCACTCTCCTTTTTCTCTTTTCTTGTATTGTCTTTAAAATCTCCAGAAAAAAATTTCATTCCTGAGTAATCCATTCCAGTGGGTAAAGACTGGTTCAGTAAAAGAAAACAAACAAACAAAAAATGCTCATTCTGCCCCAACATTAGCATATTAAAAGAGCTCAGGAGGTGTTCACACCAGCAACAAAGTAAATTAATTCTCATTTATCTGGTACTGCTTTTATTGGACTCAGCCAAGCACATCCGCATTAAGATTCTCTGAAATATAATAAAAGTTAAAGTATACAGATATTCCCCCAAACAAACCAACCCACAGAGCATAACTAGGTATAAATGATGAATTCAAGGAAAATAAATGTGCCTCCATCTGGGTAAAAAGTGGCATTTTAACTTCATCAATTTTTATAGAAACATTCAATTTTGGAAACTGTAGAATATTTATTTTTTCTGTCAAAATACAAAGAATATTACTGCATCAATGTATTTTTTTCTAACAACATATTTTACCATTTGATGTCCTTCAGTTATCTCCTTGTCTTTCTTTGTATTCCTTATCTGTGAGTGGTGTTTTCCCATCATGTCATATGCCTAAAATTAGAATACCAATCCAGGGCCCAACCCCAACCTCACCCATTATTAATATTGTAATATTGGCTAGTTTTAATTCTTAATGATTATTTGATAATGTCAAACTTGATGGAACAAAATTGATTTGACTATTTTAGGTGTCAGCCTTCAATGAGTGGTAACATCACACGTAAATATAATTACAAATTACTAACAATTTTCTTTGTTGTTCTAGCACAATCATTTTGATATATAATACTAAAGGAGCCTGAGTATGTTTAACTAACTTTATTCACTAACACAACAAATTTATTTGGCATTAACTATATATTTGGCATTAGCATGTGCTATTTATTATTCAAAGATGAACAGAGTATTATTTCTCTCTTGAAAAAGCATACAGTCATGTAGGAATGATAGAATAGGTAACCAAGTGAGGGTTGTATTTTCACATAAAAATACTGTTCACAGTTTTTGAACTCTTACTTATTGTTAGGTATTACACTATCTTTCAAATGTCACAAATCATTTAATATCATAAGTAGTTTGCATGGTAGAGATTATTAATATGTAAATTGTTTTGAGGAGGAATTTGAGGCTTTAAAGTTAATAACTTACCCTTAGTCATTGTGCTGAAAGAGCAGAAATTCAAACTCAGGCCTTCTGGCTCCTCTTGATCTGAATCTTCAAGTGTAAACCTCATTAACATGAAGTCTTTCTTTGTCTACAGTGTAACACGGAAATGTGTAATGAAACACCACGAAGTGGATGGAATGACATCTGGTAGGATATCAGGCGTAATGTAAGGGTTAAAAAATTGTCATTTTCAGTCTAGCATCTATGGATTTTGTGGTTCTTCATTTAATTTTATCTCAAGACAATCTGGTCAGTAATTTCTTCTACACACCACTTCACTTGCAGTTTTGATTGGAGTGTTTATTGTCATTCTTTTCCGCTTTAATTTCCTCTTTTAGCCAACGGTTTATTTAGGAGTGCTTTTTTGGGTTTTTGGATATATTTATAAATTATCTTTTAATTATTGATGTTTATCTAAATTGCATTGTCAAGTTTAGTCTTCATTATATAGGCTATTTGACATTTTGGAGACTTGCTTTGTAGTCAAGTATGTGGTCAATTTTTATAAAATTTCCAATCAAATTGGAAAATAGGTAATGTGTTTTTTGAGTGTATTGTTCTGAATATAATTATATATTATTGATTTTTTAACTTAAATCTTACATAATCCAAGTTTTTTCTTGGTCTGATAAGGATTATTTAAAATATCCTACTTTGAGATCATTGATTGGTTAATTTCTAATTTATTAGTCTATCATTTCTTTTAAAGATTTATTTATTTATGCATACAAGAACTGGGGTACGAGATGCGGGGGGTGAGAGAATTCACCAGAGACAGAGTGGGGAACAGCTGAGGGGAGCAGCGGGCAAGACAGGAGAGGTCTGCTGCGCCATGTGGGTTGCTCCCTGGCTGGTTGGGGATCGAACTCATGCTGCAGAGGCTGTGGATTGCTTCATAGTGCTGTGCTTAACCCCTTGTGCCACCATGGAGGCCATATCATTTTTATTCTACTTATATAGTAGCTAGTAAGCTCACATTTGTTAGTACTCTTTCATTATTACAAAGTATTCCTTCTTATCTTTATAAATGATGTTTCCTCGAATTCTGCTTTGTTTCCCATTATTTTGCTGTAATGGCTATTTGTCTAGTAGAACTTTTCCACATTTTTGTATTCAGAATTTTTGAATGCTTGCATAAACAGAATACAGCTATATTTTAATCTTCCTGTATCTTTTTTTTTTTTTAGAGGGTGATGTATAGCTCCCTATTTTTGTTATGTGTCAGGAGCAGAAGGTTTGTACCAGAGAGCTAATTTTCTGCTCCATCTTGGCTAAATTTCCTCTGCTAGGTTTTGGATGGAGGTGGAGCTGAAAGTGAATGTCAGAGTTCTGACTTTCATGTCACTGATCCCCTGAACATCGGGGACCAGGTATTCTTATGGAATAGTTGATCAGGCTACCCTACCACTTCATGGCACTAGGTTGGTAGGCCCTGTTGGTGGAGCCAGGATGTTCCTGAGAATCCAGGGGGCTTGATTTGTAAATGTGACTAACAGATTGTAGTTTTCTGCATTTTCTTCCCTAATAGGGAAAACAAAGGAAAACCCTAGTTGTACATGCACATGTCACCAAAAGAAAAAAAAAATTGTTTCAGAAATCAAGAATAATAAAAACTGGAAAGAAACAGAATTTTAGCTTACTTGAAGTAAGCAAATGCGCCAGTAGAGACAACAGTTTATAACCATGAGTAACTTAATTTGGAATACTATTTGAGATTATTTTAGGAGTCTATACCTTTTACACTTTTTCTCAGGAAATATTGAAGGTAAGTCTTAGTGATCTCTCTGAAAGTTCCACTTAATGTTTTGGGGCTTGGGGTATTTACTCTGATGCCCCTTTGATAGAAACTGTCCAAACATAGGAAACACTTTTTCTTGATTTGGTTAGCCATGATTACACTTGTAATACTTGAGAAGGGCTTTTTCTTCTAATTATACCCATCTGGCTTGATTGCTGCAGGACAGCAGAAGTAAATCAAGTCAGTGTGATAACTCTATCCCGCTGCGTGCTTAACTGACACTGTCTTGTGAGGAACACAATGTTCTCCTGTCTGATGTGACAATGTTCTCCTCTGTGTAATGTAACAGGGCTAACTGTTAATGAGCTGAAAAGTTTATTTATTAAGTATGAGTCTCTTTTTAAATGTGGAAATGAATGTAGGGGGGAGTTAGGTTTCCAATATTATCTTGTGTACATATTTGTGTAAGTAGTTCAGGGTCAAATTAGTACATGCAGGTTAAGATAGATGCTGTGTGCTGCTTTGAAAACCAATGCAAATGTCAGTAAACAAAGCAGCAGAAAAAGCACAGCTGTGTCATGTCTTTCAATTGTCTGGACTGGTTGATGTTTGTTTCTCATTCTAATATCTTTTTCATCAAAATCTTCAGGGAAATTAAATACTTTACCCACACCCATACTTTCCTAGCTGTGTGCTTTTGTACAACGCCAATGAAGGAAACCTCATTGCAGTTTAAAGCAGTGAGTCTCCATATGGTTTAAATGTACTT